TTAGCAAAGTTGATTGATTAGAATTAGTCAGATTTCACGAAAGTCAAGTCTGAAACATATGTGGTCTAACCAAAAAATAAATCTCTTTGGTCAATACCAATATACGGAGTATAACAAAAACTTTTAATATTCACTACTAGAATGGTTTGATCACTCTCCCTCCTATTAGGATAGAATTTTCCTACACGTGAAAAATTAGATTTTATTGTCGCTAACATTACGCAGTTTAGTGGGTCCACAATAATAGCCGAGTTTTCTTGGTCGTCAAGTGTAATGTAACACATGGTTTCAACAACAAAAAACCTAAAAATAAAAATAAAATCTCACTCCGTATCAAATTTGACAAATAGACCCACGCATAAAAATCTCATTGGTCATTCTATAAAAACTTTCCCACCGACACATACAATCAACTTGGCATAATAATATCAGTCTTCTCGAATCCCCTCTCAAAGCATTCGTGCGTCACTTTGCCTCTTCAAATTGTTGACAAAAGTCATATATGATGGGCCGCTTCAAATCTATTTCAATTATTGAAGCATATTGTATTTAATGTAATTAAGTAATACTTATAAAGAACCATAGCATTAGTTGGGGCGTGGCCTTGTAACGATTGTATGTGTTGTACCACGTGGTCAATGAAAAGGTCAATAAATTATTTTCTAAAATTCTACATGGTCTAGAGCCAATCCTTAGGGAGTCTCAAAAACCCTAGGATTGTTCTCCTAGGTGTGCTCATCAAGCCACCTCTCGAACGTTGTTCGTCATCGCTCGTCATCCGTCAATTGAACCGGCAGAAGATCATCCGAAGAAACAATCATACCTCCTCTTGGAGTGGATATGGGGCGACAGGAGACCATCCATGCCCGCTCAAGGATATCGTGGGTGAACTGTGTCTGATGAAGAAAGAGACCATGGGTTGTGCGATGGACATTGATGCAGAGGAAAAAGTGCAGGTCTGATACGGTATCGTATCGGGATAGGGAAGAATTTCGAGCACCTTCGAGCTCCAAGAACAAAAGAGGTGAGAAAGAGAGAGATTAAGGTTTAGTAGAAAGTATTTTCTTTATTCATTCATTGATAATACTATGGTGATGGATACATTTATAGGCTCCAACTCTAGAGAATCTCAATAATAAATGGTAACTAAATAAATTAAGAATCCTAATTATAAAGGTAACTAAATAAACTAGAAAACTAAATAATCACCTAACAAATATATTATTCCCTAACAATAAATAACTAACTATAAATAATTCCTTACCATAATAATAATAATAATAATAATAATAATA